TCCAAACGCGTTGTCAATTCATTATTATTATTATTAAAGAATATTTAGACATTGGCAAAGAATATATTTTGCAAACGCAAATGATTCAATAGGCCATCATCCATCAAATTCCTCACACCTGCTGAAGATCACCTTTTTGAGACAAGTCTGATTTGAGCCGATAAAAATAGATCTTCTATTTGTTATTTTTGGAGTTGATTGGTTAAAGTGACACAGATCGCCGTCCTAATTCATATTTTAATATAACTTAATTTTGATAAATGAAAGAAAGTGAAGTTCACTTAACTTTTTTTATGATTATCATAATAATCAGTTTTTATAACTTCACGCTGAACTAAAACTAGTTATAATCTGTAACAACCATACGCAAAATTGTCTCTCAGATCCGATCACAATATCATACCCCAGCCATAGATATACATATATAGATACAAATTAGGTTCTCTGAAGAACCTTTTTATGTAACAAAATATTTTTAGAGAATTCCGTTCCCTTTGTATGGAAAGTATTGTTACATGTATACCAGGTTATTAATTTTCGGAGTGCCGTTCCCTCCTTGTTTTCCTTCTTTTATTTGAAAGCTTGCTAAAACTTTGTTATGATTTTCTTTTCGCTATACACCACACTAGAATTCGTCTCAAATAGCCGGCTCGAGCAACAGCAACCTGTTCGAACCCCTTCCGTGTTGTTCTTCTTCTCCCTACCCCTACGGCAATTTTCAACACATTTGAATTTCCCACGAACCCTTACATACACACACACTCACACACACTGTGAAGCCTGAAGATCTATTTACAAGTCAGCCGCCCTGTAATGCTCTGTCTGGCACTTTCTCGGACATTCCCATTAACATATTGGACAAAAACGTGGAAAGAAAAGCGTGAAATTTAGCATACATGTATTCATGAGCTGTCGCCTCCTGCAGTTTCCCAAGGAATTCAAAACTGTAAACTACCCTTAAATTCTCCCTACCAAATGACCCTTAATGATGATGTTCTGATTGCCGGCATTGTCTTCCTTGTCGCAAAGTTAGGCAAATTACATGGCAAATCGTTCCAAGTGAAGTTGAATACCATTTGCTGCCAAGACAAAACAGGAAGTGTCCGATCGTCCGTCCGTCTAGTCGCGACTTTACAAAATCTAACCACACCCGTGACGGGCCATTAAGCCAAGTAGCCATAAAACTGTTTTATGCATAAATATACACATATGTTTGGCTCACTCTGCCGCGTACGTACACAGTAAATGTGTCCCACTGTGCAATTAAAGCCGTCTTCAGTTTATGACATCATAAAGGTGTAATCGAAGGTGCATACATATCTTATTTTATAGCCGTATTTTGGGGACGCATGTCCGCATATATGAAAACATAAAAGCCGAAACAAGCGAAATTCATAAGGATTAGGACACTGCTCCTGCCGCCTGCCTCTGCCTCCTGCTCTACGTCCACACCTCACCTGCTCGGACCCCCCACTCAGACATATGAAAATCAAATCAACAAGGGTTGCCATTGTGTGTGCGTGTGGACAGGGGAGGTGGGGGCGGTGCGGTGCCTGGGGTCAATGCACAAAAATGCGTAGAACGTGCGCCACGCGAAACGACCCACCGATGACGAGTCGCATCGCATCGTCGAGGGTGACTAGAGAAAGGAAACCGTTGCCTGGTCCCTGATCCCTGGTTCCCAGTTCTCAGTTCCCAGTTTTCAGTTCCCGGGTTTTTTGGTTCGTTTCGGCTTGGAATGGTCCATCGCATTTTCATTGCTCTCTGCCACATGCCGTACAAGTTGGTGGCGCGAAAGTTTATTGACCCCACGCAGACACGCACAGACTTGCGATATATTTTGGGGGAGGCTGCAATTGGTTCTTCTTCTGCTTGTGTTTCTTCTTCTTGTCGTTGTCGTTGCCGGGCAAACAGCAAACAGCGCCCCAGAGGGTTGATTAGCAACGCTGCCGCCCCCAAAACGTAAACTTTGCACCACCTTCCTTCCATTTGGGCTGGCATTAATATTATGGCTGACATGACTATTTATTTATTTGCAAGACACTTCCCCCCTCACGTTCAATTCGGGGAGGTGGTCGTGGTCGTGGTGGTGGTGGTGGCCAGACAGACGTCTGAACCAACGGCAAAAATAATAAAAGCAAGCCCAAAAGGATCAAAGCCAGACGTACGAATGTTATAAATTTTTGTTTTGTGCGACGGCTGCGACGAAGCGTTGAGCTGTATTCCACCCTTGCTACAAACACAAAAGCAGCAGCAACAACAACAACAACAGCAACAACAACAAAGCAGCACCAGGAAGAACGAACGAGAGGGCAAAAATGCAAGTTGAAAAAGAGGCAGCTGTAAAAGTAAAACAATAAAAGAAGCAAGCAGAAACAGAATCAGGCGATGGGCAAAAAGTGAAACGAAAACGAAATGAAACTGCACAAACACACGCACACACAGGACATTGCAGCCGGGGTAGCACACGTTACATATACATACATACATGCAGCATATACACAGCAAGCTAAGTAGTTAAACGTCACATATATATACACATTTACGTTTTGCAGCATTTACTTAACAGCAGTTCGATAGAAAATTTCCCTGCACGCTGTTTTCGATAACATTGCGATCAAATGTGACCAGCCTAAGGTGATTCCTTCTAGAGCTTCAATCTGGCAACATCATTTGCGCAAATTTCGTTTACTTTTTCTGCAGACGGTTCACGCGGATCACTTGCACAGCAAAAACAAGTCGAGACATGACAGTGTTGCCAGACCTTTCCTAGCTCTGTCCCTGTGCGGAATGTCGTAGTTGTTGTTTTTATTCATGCTGTCTGTTCTCGACAGTTGCTTTTTATACCCTTGCAGTGGGTATTATAACTTAGTCATGAATTGTGTAACGCATAGGAGATATCTCCGACCCTATAATGTATTTATATAATTTAAATCAGCATCAACAGCCGATTTGATATAGCCATGTTCCAAGCTCGGCACTTATAAGCACTATGCACCCTTTTTATTTGCAATCTAATCAACATCGGATAACTATATCATATAGGTGCCATAAGAACGATCCGTCGAAAAGTTTGTTCTGATATGGCAACCTTTTTTAATGTAAAGACAACTTGACCGAACTCCGGATTTACTCGTTCCAATATGAACCTCATGTATGTGCAAAATCTTATTAACATCGGACCAATATATCACATTATAGGAAAGATCGGTGAAATAGTAGGATATTATAAGGCAAAATATTCAGATTATAAATATTTCAACAAACTCAGCATTTTCGAGCAGCACTGTTCTTACATGTCAGCAAAAGGGAAATGAGTACAAGGGTATTAAATCTTCGGCGTGCCGAAGATATCCTTACTTTCTCGTTTATTATTTTTTTTTTTGGGAATTCTAAAAATGCTGCCTCCTGTCTGCAGCTCTTGGATTAACGATGGATGAACGGCGTTCAATGTCCTCTTGCTGGCTTTTCGCTATAGGTATCTACATACACATACACACACACACACGCACAAGTACACCAATACTTATATATGTATTTATATCTATGTCGAAGCCGTGTCGGATGCAGGCTGCTGGGCAGTCTGGCAAATCGTAACTTGCAAGCGGGAAGGGAACGCCAGGAGCAGATGACAGGTTTTTTCTTCTCTTTTGCTTTATGTGTATTTTTTGTTCGTGGCTGCTGTACAGGATGTTGCCGTGGTCTGAGCCTTGTCTGTGTTGACGTCCAACAGGGTTTTTAGTTTTCATGGTCTGCCGCGGTCGGCGTTGTTCCCTTGACGGCCAGCCGCCGACGCTGCCAGAAAGCCTGATAGCCGGCCAGACACAAATATGTTAATGTTAAATTAATACCCTTCGCTTAGTTGCGAAATCAAATATTTGAATTATTATTATAATTATGTTTTATAAATCCTTCGCCTAGCCTTAAAATTGTTTGGCACCTGGAAATGCTGAGATCCTTTCACTATCAATTAAGTTGGATAAATTTTCCTATGATCTAAACATGTGCCTTTGTACAGGAATATGTCAGCTGTAGTATTAGACATACACAGGCAATCTTACGTCAATATGCACATGTATGTATGTATGTAATATATGAATGCAAATGCACTTCGAAAAATGCAAAAGGGTGAACAACATAATGGGGGGAACGAATAGAAAACGAAACGTAGACTAGACCAAATTGCAAATATGTAAGGGGAACGCATAGCATTGAGTGAAACATGAAACGGCGCCAAACGCCATAAAAGCAGCCAATGACACATACAAGCACACATACTCTCATTAAAAACTCTGCTATTACAACACACGCTTAAAATGTGTGGGTGTGGATCTGGATTGGACACCGGGACGTGAGAAACGTTTTGAGATAACGGAACACGGTTTTGCGTTAGTCACCACCACCAAAGAGACTGGCGGCGGGCGGGCAGCCAGAGACAGGCTGCTTTAACAAACAACAGATGTGAGCGACGATGACGACGCCGCTTCCACCACCAAACAAATGAGCCGCAAGGCAACGTTTTCTGGCAGAACATGTAAAAATAAAAAATTTACGCAAAGGCAGGGTAGGGTGAAGAACAAGCGGCCTAGCAACTACTAACGTAATAATGTATATGTATATATATATATATATACACATATGCATTTACATATGTACATTGATACGTACATATGTATTGAAATAACAGCAAATAAAAAGAATAACAGAGCTGAGCGCTGGCAGCGAACTGGTCTTCTAGCATACGCTTCCGCCTTTGCGCACGCCTGGCGTCGGCAGCGCAACTGCTGCATGAATTTGCATAATTTGATATAGTGTGTGTATGTACACATATATACAAAGCGTTACTTACACATAAGCGGGGAGGCGTGGTAGTCACAACAAAAAGAAATTCATAAAAAATGACACCTTTATGGTTTATAAATTACCAATAAAATATATTAAAGTACATACTATGTACAATAAGCTGATTTGGTTTTTTTTTTTGCTGCTTTTGCACAAACCTGTATTTCATTTGCCGTTTCTGTTTCTGTGTTGTTTTTGTTGGATCGTTGCAGATTATTTTCGCCGTTTCTTTCTTTATTCCTGTCTGCATTGACGCACAAAACGAAATGCTGCAAAAAGTTTTGTGCTCATTCGTAATGTCAGTGATTTTTTTTGAGCAACAAGACGATGCCGACGTTCACGTTAAATGCATTGCACAAATAATTATGTTTGTAGTTGCAATTTTTTTTGCCGCCTTGCTTTGCATATCATGTGCAGTGTTATTTTTGTTGTTTCTTTTGCCGCCTTTTCTGCTGTATAAGACTTTTTTCGGTTCCAAACACACGCACACAACACATACACAATCGCGGCACTTTACTTATTGCAATATGCTTATGCTGTTGCTGTTTGATTTGGTAACTTTTGTGAAAAGCGTTGAATTACACTAGAAATTGACTATCGTATTGTTGTTGCGCTCTAAATAACGATTGCACTAATTATAAATTAACAACAATACTACGTTTATAAATTCGCACTAATTCAGTTTCAAGCGTGTTCTCGCTGGGTGTGCAAGAACACGAGTGTTGCAAGACATCGCAAATAACAAATTATCGAAAATTCGATAACATAGGGTTGCAAAGCAACCGATAAGCGCTCTGCACGTTTTTGATAAAAACAATAGTTACATTTGTTTTGGGTAATTATTCAATTTTCAGCACAATGGGCGCATTGGCAGAGGTAAAAAATGATTACACCAAAAACTTTTGGACAATAAATAAAGTGTGTGCCTTAGCTTGCAGGCGATGAAAAAAATGGAGACGGTTCGCGCACATTCGTTTTCATAAACGAGGGACACACGCTTGGAAATGCGTTAAAAACAATTATAGCTCGCTACCCGGAGGTCGACTTTTGCGGTTATACGATACCACATCCTACGGAGCAAAAGCTGCATTTCCGCATACAGTCACATCGCGAGCGCGCTATTGACTTGCTAAAGCGGGGACTTGAGGACCTGGAGGCGCTGTGCGATCATACAATAGAAACGTTTGAGAAAGAGATGAATGGCTTTAATGCCTCAGCTTTAGAAATTAACTAATACACTAGCCTATACAATACATTTTAAATCTATACAACGCTGCGTGCCTTCTTTGGATCGTAGTTGGGCTTGCGCAGGTGATGATAATTGGGCAAAACCTTCCGTAAAAAGTCGATCTGTAGGGTTTGCGAGCCCTGCTTCTCAATGGCCTCGCGCTGCAGGGCTTGCTGCCCATACACAATGGTATTTTCTGGAAGTACTTGGGCAGTGTACATTCGAATGCCAGCTCCAATTACACAGCCGCTGGACACGGTCACTCCTTTGCCAACAAAACATTTACTCTCGAACACATTTTTGTCGCCAATTCGTGAAGCCTCCACGGTGCAGCCAACTTCAAAGACGTTGTGGCTTCCAATGCTAAGAATATTGTTGGCATCCCAGCTGGCGCCGTCTGGTAGTCGATGTGCTATGGTTGCATACTCCTCTACTATGCAATTTTCGCCAATTATAATGGGTCCAGCCTCGGCAATGACTGTTGCACTGGGATGCACGACGCAGCCAGCGGAAAAGGTGATGTCACCACGTAGAGTGCTCTCCTCGCACACCACCGACTTGGGAAAAATCTTGATGCTTGTTGGAAAATGTTCCGTAAATGATACTACTCTGCGAAGACTTCAAATTATTAAGCCTTACTTGTTTTCCGTGGGCATTGCAAATATTGTAATTACTCTGATGTGTTTACCTCTTCTCAGTAAAAAATTTATTCATCGATAGATCTTAATATATCGATATATTCAAATGAGCGATACAGGGCTGTCCAGGAGTGATTTGCCGCTGTTAATACGATTTTACATTGCTGCATTTGGTGGTTATTTTAATTAAGTAAATTAAATTATCCATCAATTTATTATTTATTTGATATTTTCTGCTTGGCTTGCTGTTTTTCTTGAAACGTGATTTATGCGCGCGGTGAATAACAGCCCATGCGAACATTAGGGAAAATTTTATGCCTCGCTGTTAAAAATAAATTCCCAGTAATCGAATATTTCCCTTTCTTCTTTTCCGTCTTAAGCTGATGCAATTTGTTTGCATTTGTTAATCAGGCAGGCCGAGAAGTTAAAAGCAGTTGCATTAAAATATATTAGTTAATTTGAGAAAATGCCTACAAAGCAGCTTTCCGAGCTAACAATGAGTAAGTTATCATTCATACATACTTTACGATTAATATTCAGCAATGCGGCATCTGTGGCTGTCCACGTTGCCATTATATGTGTATGTGGAAGTTACTTGTCGAAGTGAGTGTTAATTTTTGTGTAAATGGATAATTTGACGCTCAATTTTCGCAGGTGCGCTTTTCACATCGGAAAAGCGTGGAAGCGACGATTCGGGCGATGGCAGCGAAACCAAGCCATATAAAACCATTTTGCAGGCGATGCGTCATGCCGGCAAAGAGCCTTTCCCCACCATCTATGTGGACAGCAAGGACCCGAACGCCAGCGAAGTCTTCGAGCCGGCAGCCAAATCGCAGCTAAAGAAAATCCAAAAGCTCTTCGTACGCGAGGGCCACAAGAATGCGGATAAGGAGCAGCGCGAGGCCGGGGATGCGGAGAAGCGGCAACAGAATCTGGAAGATGCTCGCAAAGTGAAGATCAGCGAGGATCCCAGCTTGCCAGTTGCGAAGAGAATTCGCATCGTCGAGGGCACCGAGCAGCGCAACAATCGTGTCAAAATCTACGGCTGGGTTCATCGTTTGCGCCGACAGGGCAAATCCTTGATGTTTATCACCTTGCGCGACGGCACCGGATTTTTACAATGCGTCCTCAACGATCTGCTGTGCCAGACGTACGAGGCGCTGATGCTCAGCACGGAGAGCACTGTGCTGCTCTATGGCACTCTGCGGCTGGTGCCTGAGGGCAAAACAGCGCCGGGCGGACACGAGCTGAATGTAGATTATTGGGAGCTAATTGGCTTGGCGCCACCGGGCGGCGCGGATGCAATACTCAACGAGGAGGCGCATCCCGACGTGCAGTTGGACAACAGGCACATCATGATACGCGGCGAGAACACGTCCAAGGTGCTCAAGATGCGCTCCGTTGTGATGCAGGCATTCCGTGCCCATTACTTTGAGCGCGGCTACAACGAGGTGACGCCGCCAACGCTAGTGCAGACTCAGGTTGAGGGCGGCTCCACGCTGTTCAAGATGCAGTACTTTGGCGAAGAGGCCTACCTCACGCAGAGCTCTCAGCTCTATCTGGAGACATGCCTGCCGGCTCTGGGCGATGTGTTTGCCATTGCACAAAGCTACCGGGCTGAGCAGAGCCGCACACGTCGCCATTTGGCGGAGTACACTCACATTGAGGCCGAGTCTCCGTTCATCACATTTGAGGATTTGTTGGACCGCCTCGAGGACTTGGTCTGTGATGTGGTTGATCGCGTTTTGAAGTCGCCTTGGGGTTACCTCGTCAAGGAGCTCAATCCTGATTTTAAGCCACCGAAGAAGCCATTTAGGCGCATGCCATACGCAGACGCCATCAAATGGCTCAAGGAGAACAACGTACCCAAGGAAGACGGCACATTCTATGAATTCGGCGAGGATATACCGGAGGCGCCCGAGCGCAAAATGACTGACACGATCAATGAGCCGATTATGTTGATTAAATTTCCGGCCGAAATCAAATCGTTTTACATGTCGCGCTGCAAGGACGATCAGCGCCTTACCGAGAGCGTTGATGTGCTGCTGCCGACTGTGGGTGAAATCGTTGGCGGTTCCATGAGGATCTACGACAGCGCCGAGCTGATGAAGGGCTACGAGCGCGAGGGCATCGACCCCAAGCCCTACTACTGGTACACAGATCAGCGCGTCTACGGCACAATGCCCCACGGCGGCTACGGCCTGGGTCTGGAACGCTTCCTCTGCTGGTTGCTCAACCGCTATCACATCCGCGACGTCTGTCTTTATCCACGCTTCCTCGACAGATGCAAGCCCTAAGTCGCTGCACTGCGTCTGCAAACACAGCATTTACAAATCTAAACAGTTTCCGCTTCAAGCTTATATATAATCCGCACTTGTCTTACGTTTAGCTCACGTACAAAAATAAAATATCTTCTGAGATGCGCGGCATCTGCAACAATAATAGATGCATAATTATTGCCAGCTCTCGCTTGAGCGGAGCTTTATTTACCAATTCTCAATGCCAATAAAAGAGCAACAACAAAATACACCAACTGTTGCCTTTGAATCTTAAAATGGAATAGATTGCAATTAAATTGAAGTTCAGTATGTGAGAGACAAAAACAGGCATCTACAATTATATAAAGTATATATTTAAAGCCACATCTTAGGCATATATCCTAAAAGACGCATCACACTACAAGCCGAGTCTTGCTATGGAGGTATTCTGATCTAACCACACGAGCAGGATTCATGCGAATATTTAAAATGTAAGAATGATTGTATTTAAATTGATAAGCTACAGACGGGGTAAATGCAGCTTTTAGGAGAAACTCCAATTAAAATTATTGTTGAAATCAATTTGTCTCAAACAATCAACCTCTTAATTCTGGAATGTCGGATGTAATCTTTGCTATTTCCGCAACTTACTCGAATTAAAGAAACTGTGATTTATGCTGAAGGGCATTTCCAGGTCGAATGCATTATAAAAGATATATTAAATGGATACTGGGTGCATTGCATTATTGTATTTATGATTCTAAACGAGAAGCAAATGAAATGAGAACTCGAAAATGCAGCTCACAGATTGGTTCCTTCCAGAGATAGTTATCCATTCGTATTGCGGGCACATAGCCTTTGGTGGCGCTGACTGGCACTGACCTGGCAGGCCTATTGAAAGAGAGAGAGAGAGAGATTCGGTTATTAGCAAGGTGCGAAGGCATGATAGGCATGGAGCCCTACCTGGCGACGATAGCGCAGTTTCTTGTTATCGCTCAGACACCTCCATTCATAGGCAGCCAGAATAACCAGCTGCTTGGGCATCAGGCCGCAGTATCTGCGTCGAACGGTGCGAAGGAAATTCAAATATGCGTTGTTCGTGATCGGACCCGGTTTCACCCACTTTTTGCGCTTGACACTGAAGCACCTCTTTCGTTTGCGAGGCTGGCAGATGTTGTGCTTGGTCCTGCGTGTCGTGCACCTTGACTTCAGACTACTCGAGCAGGAAGGCTTTTCCGGACAACATGGGCCAAAAATTGTATCGTCGGCATCATCTTCTTCGGAAACCTGCATAGAACCGACTGATTTATTGCAACTGTTCATATTGCGATACTTTTCCTTTTCCTCAAAATTCATTCGGTTCCAAACTGTCGCACAATGTATTAAGTCCCTTAAAGCGACATTCTTTGCCTTGGAGCCAACTTTTACCGCACTCTTAGTCCCTTCAACTACTTCCATTTTGTCTCTTGATTACCAAGGGAGTGGGGAAAAGAAATCAAATGTTAACGCCGATTTTCGGTAAGATTCTTGAAATATATACTAACAGAAATTTCTGAAAATTATTAATTGAAAAACCTTCTTTTTTTTGCAATAGTTACATTTACGAATAAATTTATTAAAAGCTGACGCTGACAATACAAAAATATTAATATGCTGGAAAATTTCAATCAATTAAATAGAAAAATCAAATCGGCTCGCCTACTATGTTTTCATATATTGCAAAAAGGACGTAGCCTGCCCATGGACTCAATCTTCTCAATAATATATACACATTTACCCAAAGGAAGATCCGAGTCTAAGCTGCATTATAACCTTGTGCGTATTATTTGAAGATTGATAGGAACACCCACTGGCAAAGAAATTGTCTTTGATGATTGACAAGAGTTTTAATCAGTTCCCTAGTTTGTGAAGATAGTCCACTTTAAAATATGTTCTATAGATCAGCTTGTGGCACAGTTAACTTGTTAACTTTTGCAATTCCAAAACTATTCAAAAATCTTATAAAAGAGTGATCACAGCTAAAACGAATTTAGTTTCGCTTATTATAAGAGATCGTGCATTTAATCGGATTAGCTTGTGATATTGTTGAGCAACTGTTCAATGTTTTTATCGACGAGGTTTTCGCTGGCCGGCGTTTCATCCAGGTCCATGTCCTCCTCTTGAGTCTCCTCGTCTTCGATGTAATATTCCTCCTCCTCTGCGTCTGCGTCACCTTCGGTCTGGGGCACAGCCTCCACCTCTGCGGTCAGATGTTCTTTGCGATAATGGTTACGCAGCAGATCGCTAATGGTGGCGCAGACGATTTGACGCACCTGTGCGTCAAAGCTGGGTGGCAACCAGCCGGTGCGTTCATTGCAAACAGCGCCAGTCAGTGGTGTGGGAATCTTTTCCAGCATTTCCTGTATCTTTGGCAGGCGCACATCGCAATAGCGCAGCATGCATTGCCTGGAACGTGGCAGCTTGTGTTCATCAAAATAGGGATAATCGATGTTTTGCACCAATTCACTTTTCATCTCCTCGCTGGCCGCCGAGGATGATCTCTTCTGTTTAGCAGACTTCCGCGAGTAGACAAACTCGGACACGCCCGAGCCGAACCGTAGGCGAAAGTCAAATGTTTGATAGTGTCGACTTTTAAAGTCCTTGCGGGGATCGTAGCCATAGCGCACGTACAATGTTCGCCAGGGTCCATTGCTAAAGTAAAAGGCCAGCGATGGTATGATGCATTTAAGCTTCTCATTGGTTACGCCCGATTCGTACAGCAACGCAATGCGTGTCCAGATGGGAATATCATCGAACAGCTTCTTGACCCGGGCGAATTGGTCGTCCGAGACGTATTTCACCCTGAGGCGCTTGAGTATTTGCGCATCTGGCTGGGTGGGAAATGTGTCCTGCATATTGAATGAGACGACATCGTGATTGTCATAGGTGGACTTGGCCGATACGCCCAGCACCTCATGCTGACCATCTCCAGTTCCATCGATTCGATAGTGTCCCCCGTGCACAATGTCAACACGTGCGAACAGCTCCGGCAGGCAAAGCAACTGCGCCTGTGGGCGTCTGCAGAGCAAAGGCATTGCAACATTTTCTAAATGATATAGCAAATTACTCACTTGAAATAGTCCAAGTCGGTCACATCGCGTGGCTGCACTTGATCCAAGGCATATATTAGCTCTGCTGCGGCGGTGGCATCATCACTTTTGGGCATATGCCAAAGGGGCAGATACTGAAAGTCACAAAGCGCTGTAAGCAGCAGATTCTGGTTATCGCTCCAATCAAGAACCCTTTATCCACATCTTACATTCAAATGAGAAGCTGCGGCTGCAATGGCCCAGTACCCGGACAAAATGCTGCGGCGGGCGCGACTTGTCGCGTTTATGTCGTCGCACGGTCACCGACAGCAGAATCCCCGATTTGTCCGTGCAGTCACCAAAGGTGGGCTTGTTGTATGGATTATCCGGATGAAAACGCAGCTCCAATCGTTTCTTCTCATCCCCCAGAACCTGCATTGTGGATAGTCAGCGTTGTTTCTTTTTTGTATAATTTCTTAAGTTTGTTACCTTTGATATGTTGACAATGCCGCCCAGAGTAGACAACATGCGGTCCGTGTTGACCACTCGGCCAGGGTATTCAATGAGTTCATATTCTTGCTGAGGACAAAAGCTTAATTGGCGCGACATGCTCTAAATATGATTTGTGTACCAAAAAGCAAACGTTTAATTATAAGTTGCGATTTTGAGAACTAGGGCTGCTAGCGGCGGGCAAAATGTAATCGATTTGTAAGTTATAGTGAAAATATCGATGTATATCGATAGCAAATGTCGGATAACGATTAATAATCTCTACTAATTACTAACAGCGCTATAAAAATGATTAACATTTTGTTAAAATTTAATAAAGTTTAAATTGGCTTTAGATTATTTTGCTGTATACCATTCTGGATAGATAAGAATTGATATAACAGATAAAATGCTTCATTATTTAAATGGCTGTGAGCTCCGTATAGCTAGCAAAACAAGCAGCGATAACAGACTTGTTTACATATTGAAGCATTGTGAGCAGCGTACTAGCTTCAGGCAACCGGCGAGCTCTATTGTTGTTCTGCCTTGTAATTTAATAATTTCGGAAACATGTCGAGTAAAAGTCGTAAACGGACGGCCAGCAGCAGCAGTAGCAGCGCGGAGGAGCCAGACAGCGAAGAGGAGTCGCGTATTAAGGATCTACGAGAGCGAGATGAGTTTGCCACTCGCCTAAAGCAGCGTGATGAGGAACGAACCCGCAAGGTGGTTGAGGCAAGTGGCGGACGCAAAGCGATTGAAGAGGCCACCAAACGCCTAAAGCTGGAACATGAGGATCGGGACAAGATTGTGCCTCATCTGCGCGTCCAATCACGCCGACAGTACTTGGAAAAGCGCAAGGAGGACAAAGTGGCCGAGCTGGAGGCAGACATACTGGACGACGAATATCTCTTCGAAGAGAGCGTGTAAGTGTTTGCTTTCTTGCTGCTATAATAGCTAACTTGCTCCTTCTCCCATAAGTTTAACCAAGCGCGAGCGGGAGGAGCGCCAGTACAAGAAACAGCTGTTGAACATAGCCAAGGAGCATGAGAAGGCGCGTGAGCTGGAGCGTATACAGCGATATCACATGCCGCAGGATCTTAAGAAGGGCGAGCGATGTAAATATTTAGATTACATTTGATATATTTAAAACTGACTGGTAAAATTATGCGTTGCAGCGGAGTACGTGGAGGTGGATGAATTTGAGAAGCAGCCCAACTCGGAGCAAAAGAAATGGGAGGCTGAGCAACTGGCCTCAGCACGCTTCCAGTTTGGTGCCAAGGACGCTAAGGCTGAGGAGGAATATGAGTTGCTGCTGGATGATCAAATTGATTTCATACAGGCCCTCACGCTTGACGGGACCCGAGAGAAGACCGCCAAACAAGCTGAACTTACTGAAAAGGAACGGAAGCGTCTAACGCTGGATGAGACGCGCAAATCGTTGCCTGTTTACCCCTTTAAGGAGGATCTTATTGCAGCCGTAAAGGAGCATCAGGTGCTGATCATTGAAGGAGAGACTGGTTCTGGCAAGACCACACAGGTGCCGCAGTACTTGGTTGACGCTGGTTTTACGAAGGATAAAAAAATGATTGGCTGCACACAGCCGCGCCGCGTGGCTGCCATGTCCGTGGCAGCTCGAGTGGCCGAAGAAATGGGTGTTAAGCTGGGCAATGAGGTGGGTTACAGCATTCGCTTCGAGGACTGCACATCGGATCGCACCATACTCAAGTACATGACAGATGGCACGCTGCACCGTGAGTTCCTCTCTGAACCGGATTTGGGCTCATACAGCGTCATGATCATTGATGAGGCACACGAGCGTACGCTGCATACGGATATTCTGTTTGGCCTTGTGAAGGATATAGCACGATTTCGGCCCGAGCTGAAGCTGCTCATTTCCAGCGCTACGCTTGACGCAGAGAAATTCTCCGCCTTCTTTGACGATGCTCCCATTTTTCGCATACCCGGCAGGCGGTATCCGGTAGATATATTCTATACGAAAGCGCCCGAGGCGGACTATATTGACGCGTGCTGCGTGTCGGTGCTGCAGATACACGCTACGCAGCCGCTGGGCGATATTTTAGTCTTTCTCACGGGCCAGGACGAGATCGAGACGTGTCAGGAGGTGCTGCAGGATCGCGTCAAGCGTTTGGGCTCCAAAATACGCGAGCTCATTGTCGTTCCAGTCTATGCCAATTTACCCAGCGACATGCAGGCCAAAATTTTTGAGCAGACGCCGCCTAATGCACGCAAGGTGATCCTTGCCACGAACATTGCGGAAACGTCGCTGACTATAGACAACATCATTTATGTCATCGATCCGGGCTTTGCCAAGCAAAACAACTTTAACTCTCGCACCGGCATGGAATCCCTCATGGTGGTGCCAATTTCAAAGGCATCGGCAAATCAACGAGCTGGACGTGCTGGCCGTACAGCTCCAGGCAAATGCTTCCGGCTGTACACCGCCTGGGCATACAAGCACGAGCTGGAGGAGAACACAGTGCCCGAAATCTGCCGCATTAACCTCGGCAATGCGGTACTCATGCTCAAGGCTTTGGGCATTAACGATCTAATACACTTTGACTTTCTCGATCCGCCACCGCACGAGACGCTAGTGTTGGCACTGGAGCAGCTTTACGCGTTGGGTGCGCTCAATCATCACGGCGAATTGACCAAGCTGGGCCGTCGCATGGCGGAGTTTCCCGTGGACCCAATGATGGGAAAGATGCTGCTGGCCAGCGAAAAGTTTGTGGCATATAGTTTCTGTTTTTCATCACAAATGGTTAATAGGCTTACTTTAATTGCAGATACAAGTGCTCCGAGGAAATGGTCACCATAGCGGCCATGCTATCAGTCAATAGCGCCATATTCTATCGGCCCAAGGACAAGATTATACACGCTGATACCGCTCGCAAGAACTTCAA